GAGAAAAACTAAGGCCCGATACGTCACTTACCTCCTCCTCGGCATATCTTCTATTTTAATCAACGATGTGCTGATGTATTTGTCAGAGGTAGCGGAAATTTGCCGCCAAGGGCGGGGATCATCTTTAACATTAGTTCTACTATCCTTAAGCATTGACACCTACCTGGTAACTGTTCGATATGAATTGGGCATTTTCTCTAGATCTCTTTTTATTTCTGAACAGCCCTTACCCAATAACCCACAAGTTTTGTAATAAGCTCTTTGCTCTTCTCTTAAATTACAATGCAACTCAGTCATGTCAACCAGTATACACAACCACATGTATTTAAATAACCAGTTAAAATTTAATTGCACGTGAAAATCGTGCTAAAATAGACTGTTGGTTAGAAAAATCAATAATCTTTCAAACAGTATATTAAACAGGTACTTCATATCATTGTTAAATTGAGCTGTTGTCACTTATTAAAAATATGCCCCTCGTATTATTGGCAATACAGCAGTGTAATTTAAAGATCCTGTATGTTGTAATTGAGGTTGTATACTACACTTAATTGAAATTATATATATGTATATAATTATGCTTATAAAACAAATTTTTCAAAATCGAAGAATATGTAAGATATGTACTGCAAATATTTGTACATATTGTATGAAATCATTAAAATATATGCATTCATTTCTTACTGACAAATTTGACTTAGACTTTATAGAAAATATTTTTATTACCCCCCTTTATTTTTCATGACACGTTAAATTGGTAATATCTTTAAAAAATAATGCTTTTTGGAACTTGCAAAATTGATAAATCTTTAATTTGAGCATCATATTTAAGATATAAAACCATTAAAAAATTGTGCTACAGGATCATTAAATGTATTTAATATTTGACTTGAAAAGGGTCGATTAAAACTTAAGAATGCATTGATATTTCATTATATGAGAGAAAGACTATAATTCAATGGCATTTAAAATCTAGTGCAATATCATTTTTGGCAAAAACATAACAATAGTATCATGCAAAAAGCCAATTTTTACAGCCGTCATCTTCCAATTATATCATATATTAAGAGAGTATACTTCCTTGGTAATTAAACATTTATTACTGCCAGTACAAAAATATTATAAGTAAAAAAATGTACAAAGTTATCTTTCTCAAGTATAGAAATTATTAGGTATCTTCTCTATTACGAGCATTGAGATATTATTGAGTAAAATTATGAATCAATTCAATCGAACGCGTTACTATGAAATTGCTTTTTTTTATAATATATATAAAAACAAAAGCTTTTTGTCGTGAATATAATCATACAGCTATTACGTATATACTGTACATCTTTGATATAAAACAATTAGTTATAACAGAACTGAGACCATAACGTTTCTTTACTATTTCTGCTAACACTATTTTCTTTCAATTGGCTCTTCACTTTTATCTGCCATTAGTTCAACTTCAGTGGATACTTTATGTACTTTAAGGTTTGGGGTCTTTAACCATAATAGTGGCGTCATAGGTTAAAGCTCCAGTAATGCATTGATCTTTCAGAAGTTGACGCACTCTAAAGAATAGGGATGCAAGCGTTTGTTTTTAAGTCTTCATTTACGAAGGCAATTTTGTAACCACAGTTTTTGTTAAGTTATTCCCTTGACTGGTAGAGTTGTTAGGTCATTTTCGTCACCATTTTCAGAAACACCACTCATACGGAGACACTTTTGTCAGTTAAACTACTCAGCCGTGTCAGCATCAAGTTCATTGCTCGCACTTCTTCATTCTCTTGTTCAAGATGATGGATCTTTCTGTTAAGTCCTGTAAGAACTTTGTCAACAATAGCCTGAACTTATACATCTGCACTTAACAGTTCTGATTTAAATGTTTATTTAGAGAGGCAACGATAGCAGCAATGTCCTCTTTTGACAGGAAAGGTGAGGGAAGTTCCTGCTTTTTCCCTCTCTTATATAGGTGTTGAGCATTTGGCGCTTTCAGCTTTACTCATGATAACGGTAGCAGACTTTTTTCACTCTGTATGGTTTTGAAGTTTCAACGCGCAGTTGATTCTATTAATAGAACAGTGTACAAAAATCAAGGATAAGAAAGTGTCAAACAGTGTACTTTTTCAAAAATCAAGAGTAGCGTAATTCCAGTTAATAGATGTGCACTCATTATAACCGATAAGTACATGTATGTGTGGAAATTGAGAAGCCATTAGTACCGAAATAACTTAAGATATATAACCAAGACAGATTTATATGAACCATATACATTTTCATTGCGCTAAAAATGGCCAAAACTTGGGGGTAATGGGACCCATAGTTATGTTACTTGCCAAGATCATAATTCTTTGTGTTGATTAGTAAGTGTGTAAATTATGAAATCAGTACAGTTAGAATGTGATAAACAAGATCATCAAGGAAAGGCGTTTGGCGTTCCCCACCCGACCCAGTAACAAGAGCCAGTGGCAAGGAGCCCAGGAGGACCCCCCCAAAAAAACAGGAAAGGACATGAAGCAGAGTACGGGCAGGCAAACCACTACCTAAGAATAAATAATTAGTAACTGATAAGGAACTAAAAACAAATGGATGAGTGAATATTAGGCCCATAAAGTCAAAAGGCACAGGGAAGGGGACATGAGACCCGGGGAGGGGGGAATAAAAAGAATAAATAAAAACTAGGGGCAAAGGGGAAGATACTTACCGTAGACGAGAAAACAACAAGAGACACAAAAGTGTCACCAAAACAGTATAAAACAACATAGACAAACATCTGAGGAACACAGAGAGGCGCCGCCTTGGAACGGTCAGCAGCATAAATACTGCTGGGGAGTTTAAAACGGTTAATGGTGCACCAAGCCTATTTTGTCGGTTTAGGTTAATCTTGATAGACGGACGGTTCAATTACTATATGCCTAGGGGTATAAAAATAGCAAAATTTAGATTGAAAACACAATACAGTAAATTGTTTAAAAGTTAATCAAAACATATTTGTTTTTGTTCTGTCATCATTTTTTCTTCTTTTTTTTCACAAAAGTACAACCAAATCGTGTATGTGTGTATCTCAAGACGGATATGCAGACGACAAATTAATTTTCTAAATGTGTGCATTTTTACATTTGTTGCATTTTATCATTTTACTTCGGAATGTTTCTCCCTATTTCACTTTAATTCACATGTTTGCTTTTTTTATTTTTCATCGTTGCTGCTTAGCATATTCATGTTATGTTTACGCGTGTACAAATATATTTAACATATACCATAAATCGACATATGGATTAGAATAATGCTTAAATTAAACAAAACGTCGAATAATAACAATGGTTTCAATGGTTCAATTACTACTAACATTTATCTATAATTATATGATATCATATTATCTAATCTTTCTTGTTTTAAATAATGTACACATGCGCTTGTACATCTGAAACACATAAATGCGACAATGTAACAAGAAAAAAATATATAATGAAAAATGCGACGATTCAAAAATGCAAATATAAAATACAACAACAAAAAGTTAAAACAGAAAATAAAACAAAATAATTAGAAAAGGAGGAACATGTAAAGGGTAGTTTTTTTCGTTTTGTGTTTTTAACTCTTTCATTTGTCGCCGCGAAAAAGCAGGCTTTGCTTGACTTCCTCGTCCTTTCGCGTTTTCGCCTAAATAATGCAAAAATGTGAAATCAGGAAAAGCGGAAAAAGGGTTGGAATTCAATTCGTATCCACAACAACTGTTAGAAATTTGGTTTGCAGGGAATCATTCATTTACAGTATCTCGTCGCATATAAGCATTCCGGACTAAGCGTGTGATTTGGTGCATTTTTCTAAGCTGAGATACATTCCAGGGTGATGCCACTCCGTGTTCCTGAATGTTTTGTAAATAAAGGCACATACTATGTTTCAGTTTGTAATTTGTCTTCAACGCTGGGTATCTTATCATCTTTATTTGTTTTTACGTTATACCCCACCCTCCTTTTCTCCTTTCTTTCCAGTTCTTGTTCGGTTTATTATAATATTAACACAGTCTTTAGTGTTTTCTTGAGTTTCCTGAGTTTTCCTTGATTTCTTCGTTAGCAATAGCAACACACTGTCCCTATTTTTCTTTTGCTGGTGCCAAGTTGGATTCCGTGTTTGTGGTTCTGTTTAACTGTATTTTGTAGGGACTGCATTCATTAAATGTCACCTTGCGTGTGTTAAAGTTTGTTTATACTCGGCGCCGGAATAGCCACATGTCCCGAGATTATAGCATCCTTGCCGGTCCACTACTGTAGTCACATCGGGGACCTCTTTTTCATTCGGAATCTTCTGGTAGGCCGTTCTTCGTTCAGTAATGGTAAAGGAGACGACATAATGCTGTCAATGCATCAGCTTCCTGACCGACGATAACAAAAAAGGCCTTCAGAGTTAGTCACGACAGGTCAATTAATCATCTCTGGCACTTAAGGTGACTTGACCTTGACATGCCGTGTACCTTCTCCGCGACGTGCACGCCTCTGAAGGGATTTGGTGAAGTTATATCAACCGTGCTTTGATGATCGTTACTTTTATACTGCGTCGTATCTTCCCGATACATGATGGCGTAAACACCTAACATTTCTGAGAAGAACTAAGTAAAGAAAATTGTAGATATTAACTAATATTACTTATTCCTCATTGCAAGACAGATTAGTATCAATATTGTCCAGCACATTTAATAAATGATACTTACGAAAGGGTCTGCCAACAATTCTTAAATAGTTCACAAGAAATATCGAGCCCAAGTCCAATTGCCACCATGAAAACGTAGAATCGTCTTCGTTTCGTGCTACGCTGCATGTTGCACATAGATCTTTATCATTATTTGCATTAACTGGTGAGTCTGTCCCGTCAATTGCAAGGTCGGCGCTACATGTTTCGTATTGATTTGACTGCTGTGTGGTTGCAGATGTTGTACTGCGAAGGATATTAAGATCTGAAAAATAAACTTAACATTTAGACAACACAATCATATTATTCTAAATTACAACTGCAAATATAGAGTTATCAAAAATAGTTTGCGAACAATTATCTTTTTAAATGTATTTTTGTGTAGCAAACATAGCTAGATCGATAGAAATGCTCGTAAACCTGTCTTGAACCGAAAATACCAGAAATAGTCTTATCAAATAATACATTTTAAGTTGAATAAGTTGGCGTAGATCAAAGTCAATTTTTATGAGAATAATTCGTAGAAATAAGATTTGGATGATTTTATATAATCAAAACGTTAAACCCCTTATCACAATTGATAGACTGTGTGTTTTATTATTCAACTCTAAGGGACCATTATACTTGCACAAAATATATGCATTTGTGTTATAGTATTATAAGAATGTGTATTATTAGTAAATTAATGCTTTCCTTTAGGATAAGTATTCTTATATTCTAGTAGTATTCTATTAGTATTCTAAGACAATGAGACGATGACACTTTTTATTTCTTTTGTGGCCTCCAGTCCATGCAAACATTTAATATATAAAATATCTAAAGGGGATAGTAAATGCATAACAACAAACATATCAGCCATGTCTATACAGTAAATAAAAATTAATGTTGTTATAATGTTGTTATATATAGATATATTGCTACAATATTTATGATACTATATATTTTGCAGATATAACTTTCTTTTTTTTCTTGCTAATAATGGAACAAACACCGACAGATTTAATAAGGTAATCATTTGTTGTTGACATAATTATGTTAAAAATCCTGTATGTTATAATTGACGTTGCATATCACACTTAAGTGAAATTATATATATGTATATAATTATGCTTATGGAAGAGTTTTCAAACATCAAAGAATATGTAAAATATGTACTGCAAATATTTGTGCACATTATATGTAATCATTAAAACATATGCATTCATATTGAAAAATTTGACTTAGACTTTATAAAAAATAAATTTCTTATTACCTCCCTTTATTAATATAAAATGTTAAATTCAGTAATATCGTTATAAATAATGCTTTTTGGAACTTACAATATTGATAAGTCTTAATTTGAGCATCATATTTATGATATAAAACCAAACAAAAGTGTTACAGGATCTTTTAACTTATCTTTATACTTAGTTTGGTTGTGTGTAATATTTCCTTGATAGATTTAGGTGATTATTGCGTAGATCATCATAACAGACATATATAAGTAAGAAATGATATTGATTTTAAACATTGTTTTATCACACACTTTTCAATGTCGTTAACTTCTTGGGTATGTGTTTAACAATATCCAGACTGCCACTTCTAAAATACTGTGTATACGAATCGAATAATTTTCAAATCCAAAACATTTAAATAATGTTTAAAAGATAAACATTTTTAAACAATTCGTAACTTTCTAATCTACAATTATCGTCAACATTCATATTCCACCCTTGAAGGCTTATATCATTCAGTCTATTTACAAAAACATTAAGAAATATGTTTTCATTTTGTACACATAACCAACTGATGCAATCCAATTGAAATAACCATTTGAGAAACCATTTAGCATCATTATGTAGCTTATTTTACAATCCTTTCTTTATGCATCTTTATAATCTTCAATCAATATCGTGTAGCTCTTTTGCAAGTCTTAACATATAGTGGATATCTAGCGCAGTCCCTTAAACAGTACAATTTGATGAGACTTGTTTTGCGCACATTATCTGTTTACAAGTATTTTATTGTACATGTTCAAGCTCATTGAATTGATAAAGACCCCAAATTGCAGATCCATATAATTGTTGAGGACAAATTTTATTATCAAACATTTTAAAAAGACAGTATTTGTTAACTGGTCTTGATGATACAAATGAATTTAAATATATCAATACACGTTTTGCTTTTAAACATAGTTTGTGGACCTAAGAATTCAGAAACAGTTCTTGTGTCAGTATTAAACCTACATAACGAAAATTATTAACAACTTCTTATCTCGTGTTTCTATGAAACCATTGTTCATGTCTTGATAATGAGCCACCATTCTTGAAAATTTTAGTTTGTGTTTCGATTACCTTGAACTTAATCAGAACTGTACACAATTTTGATAAAAATCTTAATTGTTTCTGTAGACCAACTACAGTGTCGGACATTAGGGCTATATCACCAGCAAGCATTAACACATATAAATGTACTATATCAGGAAGAAGATATATGCCTTGTGCATCACTCTCAGACAATAATCGTTAAATTCATCAAGAAAAACCTGAACAACATCGGACTTGCCAAGCAGACCTGCTTCAAGCCCACAGTATAAATAACATAAACAGTCCTTGAGCCATTACAACGTATTCATACCTTAACACCTTCATACATACTCTGACGTGATTGAAACAAATTTCCTTTGTAACTTTTCTGTTTTAATATATCCTACAAAAGCTGTTTATTGATAGAGTCAAGGCACTTGTGGAAACCGACAAAAGCAACATACAATTTTCATCTTTGGTTCGTTTATTGAATTTAATAATCATATTTTGCTTATAGCTTTTTTTAAGTATTTTTCAGTCGAACACTTACATATACAAATAGGATGTCAACAACTAAACGGTCTGATTTTTAAAATGATTCATTCAACTGTGCTATTCTGACTTCGAAGTGTAAATTTTAAGTAAACGGTAATCAAAATCAGAAAAGTACGTGGTGTAGCCCTGGTCCTGGTTCCTAATGCATTATTCATGCGATTGGGATAAAAAAAAATGTTAATTTATGTTCCGGATCGGTTGAAACGCTTTTTGTATTCAAATTTGTTGGTTTCGGTGATGTGAAGAAAACCTAGAATGGTACAAACATGAAAACGGTCAAAACTGCTTAACTAGCACTTCCGTAGATCATTCCACGCATTTTCAGTATTGTTATCTTTATTTCTTAAAATGTTGAAAGTTATTCTTTTTTCAGATGTTTTGAAATGTGTATACCATTCCACTCATTTTTAATGTTATTTAAATGTTGACCTTTTATCTCTGACGCATCTTCGAAATTTGTGAAGTTAGCAGCCTAGCAGAGTCGCTGCTTAAAAACCTGAGGATTTTACAATCATGAAAACCGTTGAAATGTACTTGTAGCTCTTACTTAGGCAATTCCACGCTTTTTCAATATTGTGATCTTTATTATTCGTTTTTTTTTCTTTCAATGTCATGATCTTTATCTTTTAAGATGTTTAACTTTTAACTTTTTTATGACGCATCATCGAAATGAATTAAGTTGAAAGCCTATCAGCCTAGAAGTTAAGTAAACTAAGAATAGTACAAATTTGAAAACCGTTTGAAATGTACCTGTAGCACTAACTTAGACAATTCTACGCTTATTTTAATATTGTGATCTTTATTTTTTAAGAAGTTGAATTTTATTTTTTTATTCGGACACTTCGAAATTTGTCAAACTGCTAGCCTAGCAGCTTGTCAGCCGAAAGAAAACTAAGGAAACTACAAACGTGAAAAACGTCGGAAACGCCTTGGTAGCACTTTTTAGACCATTCCACGCCTTTTTAAAGTATCATAATCTTTATTTTTTAAGATGTTGAACTTAAAAGTTATCATTATAACGCATCTACGAAAATTGTGAAGTAGGCTGCTTAAAGAAAACTTGGAATTTTTTAAAGCTTTTTGCTGTAACACTTGTAACATTCTGTAACATTTGCAACAATTATGAGTGAAATTTTCACTTCACTCCCAACTCTCGTAACATTGCAACAATGCTGTAACTATTATGTAACAACCTTATAACATCTAACATCTATGTTACTCTATTTATTCCGATTTCTGACCACTATTTAAGGCTTGTGTTATAACACTTGTAACATTCTGTAACATTAGTTACAACTATCTCCGTAATTTTTTTATCTCACTCTCAACTCTCGTAACATTTGTAACACTGCTGAAACAACTATCTATCAATCTTGTAATATATATGTTTATATGTTTATTCCGATTTCTGACCAATATTTAAGGTTTGTGCTGCAACATGTGTAACAATTATTTGTATATTTGTTGTCATTTCACTCTCAATCCCCGTAGCATTTGTAACAAGGCTATAATAACTATATAACAACATTATTACATCTATGTAACCCTATTTATTCCGATTTTTTACCATTTCAAAGGTTTGTGCTGTAACACTTTAAAATTATGTAAGATTTTTAACAATAATGTGTAAATATTTTCATTCACTCTTAACTGTCGTAAAATTTGTAACAAATATGTATCAACCTTATAACATTTATGTACTTCTATTATATTTTGACCTTGTGCTGTTTCACATTTTACAGTTATGTGTGAAATGTTTATTTCACACTAAACTCTCGTAGCATTTGTTACGTATATGTTACTCTATTTATTCCGATTCCTGACAAATATTTAACTTAGCCTTTAAAATTGTTTGAAATCAGAAATTATAATGTCACATAGTTCTTACAGCATTGGTACAAATGTTACGAGAGATTAAAGTAAAATAAAACTTTCACACATAATTGTTACAACTGTTACAGGGTGTTACAAGTGTTTCAGCGTAAACCTTTACAGCTGCATACCCTCAGATGAGTCAAAATAGTTCAATAAAATCATCTTTAAGAAACATGTACCATGATTTTAGGAAAAGTATAATGGTTCAAGTTCAAGTAATATTTAACATGTTATGTGCGGTTAATGACAGATTTTTCAGTATTCACAACTACATTTCTACTGCGTTATTAACGCAGTAAGGGCTATTTATGTATATTTTGAGCAATTTTGGTAATTTACGTTGGTTGTGTAAGTGACATTGATATTGTGCAAATTGCTTCCTTTTGGTTATTTCACAATGGTAAACATTCGAATACATTTTCAAAAAATTCATGAAAATAAGCGTGATTCTGGAGGCGTGCTGCTTTAAAATGGAGTTGATAATGTTACATAGATGTTACAAGGTTGTTACATAGTTATTACATCATTGTTACAAATAAACACTTTGTATATAATCGTTACAATTAATTTCATAACATATATAAGTGGAGAACGTAAATGTTACATCTGTCATATGTGTTACAATGATGTTACGTACTTGTTACTTAGAGTTATTCTTGTTACATATAACAGGCGTTTCCCGATTCATTTCCGAGGGTTTTTATGTTTGTAATATCCTAAGTTTTCCTTAGGCTGCCAGGCAACTAGGCTGCTAGCTTCACAAGTTTTGAAGCGTCAGAATAAAAAGAATAAATCACAATATAAAAACAACTCGTGGAATGACTTTAGAAAATGCTATCCGACCGTCTCATATTTGTAATATTTGTACTATTCTTATTTTTCGTTTATTTACTAGACAGCTAGTTTCACGAACAAGGTTGTCTTGAACATTTTCATTCGACATTCAACGTGAGGTCTTTTCATAGATGGTAGAATATGAACTTAAGTAATTGGTAGGAATAAGTTTATAGTTAATATAGAGCGCTCTCAGCTACGGTCCTTTCCGGTAGAGGGCTTGACATATATTAATAATAATATTTTATGAAATATTGGTGGTAATAAGAGAAGCACACAGTTCCTGTAATTTTACATAAAAGAAAATTTGACCAAGATAAAGCAAAGAACAATAAATACCCAAAGATGCTTAGGATTTATAACTATGTCCCACTCTAACAAATGTTTTCCTTTTTTCGCATATAATGAGGTCAATGATGTTAAGTTTATATGAAAATAAATATAACCAAACATTTGGATACTCAGTAACTTTCTCTCAATTAATGATTGAGTGAGGTGCCGATAACTGCTGATATATTTTTTACATATCTAATAAGATTATGTGATATTACAAGATTATATAACATGATTGTATAAATTGTATTTACCTGTGCCATATACAATAAACTCACAAAGTGTAAGTATAGGTGACTTCAGTGTTAATATAAAAAACTTCGCTGTAACTGCCTCATCAAATTGATGAATAAAATGTGTTGTATTTGTGATGTTTGGTATTGTATATAATAATTGGCCTTGGTTCACATCAGTATTAAAACTCACATTGCTAGCAAAGATTTTTGCGCCTTGCAACTGTTTGTTACTTACTGCAAATTAGAAAATTTAAAAAAGGTCAAAAAAACGCTTTTGTGAATTTAAATTTGAATACATTTGAATTATGCTACCTATTATCTACCTAAATTTAAGATGGTGCTGATATTATATTAACACGTGACTTGACCTTTGACATATATCGTCCTGAAACAATTATTGGTATTTTCTTAATACTGGAGGTAAGGCATATAATTTGATTTAAATTGTACTCATGTTACTGAGCAAACACGATTTGTACCATCGACCTACTAACCACAGCACTTAATTAATCTATAAAATCTCTAGTAACTAAAACATCGAGAGAAAATTATTCAAATAAGTTCATAGTATTAGAACGACCACAAAATGAATTAAGCATATAAAGCAATATGTGTTCTATTAGGCATCACACGATTATATTTCTAGTGACTGTTTTTTAATATCTTACCAACAATTGTATCGGTTATTTTGGTTTGTCGAATAAAATTGCAATCAGAATATACAATTATTCAATTATGCGTGTATGCACTCTTATGCACGATATAAAGTATCATTTACTTAAGTCACGTCGCCCATATATCTCCAGTGTGTCGACGGAGTACTTATACCTCAGATCAATCTGCCACCAGGAAGAAGATGATCTCTTATTTGTAACACTGCAACATTGACATGAATCAATTGAATAATTTGCCTTGCCATCTATTGCGTTATATGGTCCAAATGAAGTTTTATTGCCCAAATAAATGCTTGATTGGTATGTGAGGACTTCGTCTCTGATATGATCCAAAATATTTATACCTAAAAATGAATACAGATAAAACAATAAAATTAATGATGTTTCGTATTTTCTTTCGAAGAAACGCAGTGATATGTCCAAACATTTATTTACAATGGGAAAGAAACTAACTCTCAAATAAACATTAACATGAGCATCGCTGTTCAGACCTTTAGATTCTGATTAAAATATTTGCATTTCAGGTCGTTCAAAAACAATTTGTGTTTAAAAGGGGTCTATCAATTTCTTTATATAAAGGAATGTTAGCAGTTGCTAATAGTAGAAGAACTTTCTATCTCATTTATTAAACGCTTTGAAGTTACCGTGTGCTGATATTTCAATTAAAGTGATATTATCCCATTGATTTCATTATAAAGTTGAGCTTATTTGTCAATATATTTCACAAAATTGGCTGTTATTATGGTGATTGACCAACAGTTGGTATTGAGAAATGTTTAGAATAAAGTGTAAATAAGTCGAAGATATAAAAGACTGACCCACTTTATCTATGAATTGAGTGTTAGAAAATGATGCCAAAAATGACGTCAATGAAGCAAACATGGACTAAATTATTACTTTTCAATATATTTCACTTGGAAGAAACACCACATTCAAGAAATAGTGCACCGAATGTGCATTCTGAGCTTGTATGCAGATCACGAGTAACCGTTCTATATACTTGACATAGTGTCTTCAGTATAAAAATAATGCATACCTGCTTCGAACAGTTCTACTTCACATATCATCAGGTAACTTGTATAAAAACGTCTGATCATCAGATAACGGAACGATATGGGCGGTTGTTGAAGAAGTTTAAACATTATATAAGTAGTAGAATTCCCATGATAAACTAAACTTCCAGTAAATGAAATCATTGACGTGTTGCTTATGTAAACATATATGTTTTGAAATTGTTCTCGATTACCTAAAATGTTAAAAAGTATTTTCCTAGTAAAATTGCATATCTGAAAATAATTCTCTAATACAACTTTAAAAGACTATCACCAACTCTTGTCAATTTCTGACAAATCTATGTAGACGCAGGGAAGGGTGGCAAATACTGATAACAAAACGTTAAGAATACTAGCATTATTTAGATACTATAAAGTCAGACATTTCATTAAAGGGAGATTATAGATATAATCAATATCAATATCAAAATTATCATATCTTCTTGGCAGAAAAATAACTTTAGTAGGATTATGGCATTGATTTAAGTAATGAATTATTCTTATTCAAATACAATCCATAGGCTGCCACTAATTTAGGGCATGTTCTTTTGTTTTTCATACCGTGTATTCAGAAATTCTGAATAAAGTGCATATCGTTTTATATGATTATACATAAACCCCAAGGCAAGTAACATTATTAATTGTTTGGTTTTCCGGATTGTGTGGAACTTTCAATAGACGCAGGGCTACCATAACCCCCCTTACCGCCCCTGGGTATTTTTGTACACCTTTATAGCATTGAAGCTTAGGGTATATGCTATCGGTTGCCACTTGTTGTTTAGCTGAAACGTTTACCATGAATCCAACAGAACATGTTGATTATCTCCCCTTGAATCCTATTTTTTCTATTTAAGTTTCATAAGTTTTTCAGATATCTTCTCTATGACGGACTTGGTATGGGATTTAAAAATTGTTTTGAGTTGTTTATATAAGTTAAATGATTTATACAAAAAGTTTTAAGTTTTAACATAAAAAAAACATAAGAAAAGGTGTCCGCCATTTTAAAAATGGCCGCCAATTATTGAATAGATAAACGCATCGTAACGATATTAAATGGTTTATATCCATTTATAAATAGTTTAATGTAATAATTATTATATATGATTTAATCTACGCTAGGTTTAATTCTAAATAGTCTGCTCTTTAATATTATTTCAATTTTATAGCTAAATATAAACCATAATTGTTGGGGGCCAAGTGGAGCGGCTTTTTGAGTTTGAGTTTGTTAAGCCACTTTTAATTGAATTTCATGCGAATATTGACTTTTTGTCCTCTCTAGAAAAAAATTTACTCTCACTTATATGAGAAACAATTCGAAAAGTTGGGATTTGACATCTCCGTTCCTAGTTTGTAAATCAATATGAGTTTATTAAAATGTCTAGTTTCGCGCATCACAACGACTATTTGGCAGAATGGCTACTTGTTAAGTTCCACCGAAGGTAACTATTCTATTTCTTATATTATTTAAAATGACTAGCCTTTTTTGACATTTCAATCATTATTATTAGAATAATATTTGAGATAAATGTATTACATTTCTTTAACATTGTTAATCCCATTGTTAAAAACATTTAAAAGTTACTTCCCCTTCTTTCATTACGTCATTAGTAAACATATAAACAAAATAGCAGACATCATAATAGTAACCTTTGGCTTTAAAAATCAATTGTTTTAGAGTGAGTTTGTTGATTAAATCTATATTGAATGCCTGTTTTACCAATATATATATCAGCATATCAAAAATATATATATATATATATATATATATATATATACAAAAACCTTAGATTCAATATGTCAAAAAGACACGGTCAAAGTGTTATAGTTGTCGGATACATACTAATACTCGGAGATAATTATTTGATATGAAACTACATGTGAAATTAAATTATTGACCATTTATAATTATAACATTACCTAAGGTCACGTCTGCACACAACCAACTCTTGAATGCAAGTTTCATATTCTTTTTTTCTCACATATTGTAGACACCTACTTGAATTATTTTTAATGAGAAAATGATCCTTTTTGATGAGAAATTATGTGACATCCATGAAGATAATCCCTTCTGAGCAAATTAAAACACATTCTATTTTTCTACAAGTTTTGGCTGTCAAGACAATGATAACACCGGTCTGACACAAAACATGTGCCCCAGAGGTGTGATAGTGTTTTACTTTTACTATTTTCTGACTTTTGTTCATTCAGTGTACAAGACATGTGAATTGTCAGTAAAGGGATTTTAAATGATCTTGTTAAGTAAGTGAATAACTTTCATCAAATAAAGAATTTGTATTAATTGATACATTTTCCATTTATTTTAAACAAATGTACACATTTTATTAATCCATTGTTTTTTAGCTAATTGTATCATTTTCCCGCTTTTTTATTCAAACATAATGACATTTATAGAAACAATTGCTATTGATTCAGAATATATTATACAAGTTGCCATATACCTGAACAAGCAAATACTACTTTTGGTGTAAGAATATTAATCTTATAACAATACAAAAGCAATTGTTTCATTATATTCATAAAGCCCTAATATCTTTTGTAACATTGTAACACTATATTTTTATAATTGTCCTCATCAACTGTAACTATGATATTAATTTGATGCACATACATAGTCTATTATTCATTTTATGTGTATGATATTTGTATGTTTCTTTTTTTCTAGATCAAATATGGGTAAAGAGAAACCTGTGAAGTTAAAACCAAGACTCAACCCAATAAAGAGACCTGACAGGAAAAAAACACAACAAAAGAGAGAGTGTGTAGTTCATTATGATCGTAATAAAACCGATATTGAGATAAAACCGCTGACAGATAAGACATTTGAGAAGATCAAAAGTGTTATAGAAATACGAAAAACATCAAATTGTAATGATGCACATCTAGATACTATATGCAGAAGGTTTCCTGAACATTATAATCCTGACCACCATGGATTTCATAGATGGTGTTATCAAAGTTTCACAAATATGTCAAATATTGGTAAGAAAATGCACCAAATGTCAGATGAATTATCTGCCAATACAAGTCCAAGAACAACCAAACGCCAAAAGGTATCAGAAACATCATCGCCATTATTCCCCTGCAAATGTGTTTTGTGTGGTAAAGGAAGAATAATGGTGAATCGACGATATGAAGATCTTACTAAATGTCAAACAGATACCGCTGAGAGTACGATAAAAGAAGCTGCTGAGCTGAAACAAGACACTGAATTACTGACACAAATCCGAGGTATAAATCTACAAGCAAGGGAGTGTCAGTACCATAGCTCATGTAGAAGAGACTATATAAGAAAGTTAAGTGCAAACAGAAGAAAATCTCAAGCTGAACTGTCCTTTTCTGATCAGGAAATGAATAAAGCACATGCGAATGCATTTGAACAATTGTGTGAATATGTTGAAAAGTCAATAGTTAAAGGTCACAATGTGGAAAGAATGACAATGCTTAGAGAGAAATATTTACAATACATAAAGGAAAACAGTCCGGGTTTCTATAACCCAATGTACAAAACACAAAAGTTAAAAGACAAATTGAAGAAAAGATTTACTAGTGACATTCAGTTTTGGGCACCAAACTACAGAAGTGAGCTTGTATATGCTAGTGATATTCCCAAAGGCCAAGCAGTAGAGACTGCCTTTGAAATCGCAGCTTCAGATGAGAGACTTGTAGAAGATGTAGCTTTTATACTAAGACGTTGTATTCTTGACTATAAGGAAAACCAAAACTTCTCCGAATGGCCACCAACAAATAATTCACTACTCACAATGTCCAGCAAGATCCCAACTATTCTTTGCAATTTTCTGATGCTTCTTATAAGTGGGAAACGTGACGCAGCAGTGACAAGTAAGACTGAACGGCTTGCCAATTCCTTTGGACAGGACTTATGTAGCTCAGTCACAAACGGCAAATTGAAAATGCCAAAACAGTTACTTCTTGGAATGACATTACGACATATGACAGGAAGTGCTGAACTCATGACACTGTTGAATCATTTTGGACATTGTCAGTCATACTCTCAGATTTTGGAGTTGGAAACTGCCATGTGTAACAGTACTCTTGATCGGGACACTGTTCTTCCTGATGCAATTTCTGCAACAAGCAACTTGATAACATATTTGTGCTATTTCGATTTAAATGAATAAACCCCATCAGGATCAGGAACAACCCATACTGCACATAGAATTGTCATTCAAGAAAGAGAACATCCGTTAGATGACCAGGATGACACTTCAAGAGAACAAACATCCACATATATTTCAAATATATAGGCAACCAAGGCACGCACTGTTAAATACCGTCCTGAGGAATTGGCTGAATGCTTTATTACTGGGAAATCAGAACCATTTATCAATACTTCAAAAGAAAGTTTTGACAAAGGAAATGTTTCCGGTTTTTCTATTTCATCTGAATTTCTCTGGTTCATGTGTCGGCGACTGCTAGAACATGACAAACAAATTGTTCCAAGTTGGGCTGGATGGATCTCTCTAACCTCTGAGTTGCAAGATCAAACACCATCTACAGTAGAGTACATGCCTCCTATTAATGCCCCAATTACAGAAAATGCCACTGTTCAGAAAATTCTAGAAATTTCTCAAAGTGTTTCAAGGGCTGTAAACCAACAGTACACATTTGTGACCTTTGATTTGGCTGCTGCCAAGAAGGCATATGCTATAGTATGGAAAAATCCGACTAAGTACAGTGATACTATCATACATTTAGGGGCTTTTCATTTGTAAGGGTCATACCTAGGGGCAATTGGCAAACGGCTTCGTGGAAGTGGTTTCTCAGAAATCTTGATAGAGTCGAGTGTCTGTGCAAGTGGTTCTATTGAACAGGTAATGAATGGAAAACATTATAATAGAACAATTCGTGTCAATAAGTTAAAAGTTGAAGCTCTAGAAAGACTACTTTTTGAAGAGTTTATAGCAGCAGTTATTCAAATCCACAACCCTAGTGCATTGGAAGATATCAACCAAGCGTTAAAGGTGCTTGCTGAGAATCAAAGACGTGCATACCTTGAAGATGTGTTAGCTAATGATTCTGTCACTGAACTTTACAAGAGGTATCAAGAGTTCAAGGAAGACGTCAGACAAGGTCACTTAGGGAAGACGGCACAGTTTTGGATGGATTATATTGATAAGATTTGGCTGGTTCTTCGTTTTATGAGAGCCACGAAGGAAAATGATCTTGACCTATACATAGCATCAGTACAAGAAATGTTACCATTATTCTTTGCATATGATCATCAGAACTATGCAAAATATCTATCTGTATATGTTCTTATGTTGATAAACCTTGATTCAACACATCAAGGAGCAAGAACGCTTCTTCAAAATAACGGATTCAGTGTAAGCAGATCCAATGTGCATGGCTCCCGAAATGCCATTGATATTACTATTGAGCAAACAATTAACAGACATGCAAAGTCTCGTGGAGGCATAATAGGATTCAGCAGAAACTTTGCTGCCTACTACAGATGGAGTCAAACACGACATTCGAGAGCCAGCTATGTTGAGGCTACATTTCGCATGGCCGGTATGTCATCAGCGGAGACTTCTACACACAATGATACACAACCAGCAAATATAGCTGCATCTGAAAGAAATGTCACGAAACTCAAAGAATCAATTACTAACTTTATGAATCCATTTGCAACAGATAATAGGAATGTGTTGTTCTGTTTAAGTTCAGGGGCTCCTGCACCAGAGGAGATCGAAAAAAGTCTGTTTGATGCCGACCGAAATGGACTTGAAGCACACAAGAAGTTCGTCAAAGAACGTCTTGTTGATAAAACCATTAGTTTTTATGCTCTGTTGAAGAAGCAAAACTTAAAAACATTTGCCGATACAAAGAAAGTAAAGAAAGTGACATCAACTCAGAACAAGCTTGTCGAAGTAAAAGCCGCTCGCAATGTCTTTGGTCAGCTTATCATGTTGTTAGAAGAAAATGACATTAGCCTTGAGAAGACACTTACGTACCCGCTTGGACCTGTCCCTTGGTCTCTAGCTACAGCAGATGGCCTGCCAACAAAGACTGACAAGGCAAAACTAATGCATGACCTCGAAGGCGATTATACAAACGAACAGAGGCCAGATAACAAAGACATTACATACAGTGTAACTTCCGAAAACCGAACACCCATGGGACTTGTCAAAAAGTTCGGATTTCAGAGGTTTCCGGAATTCAGAGGTTTATGATAATGTGGACAAGACTAAGCCACTTAATATCACTAAATAGCAAGGAAGATGTGTCCATTACTGTATTATCATATATAATAGTATTTTAATCAAGATAAAGATGTGCATGAAAAGAATACATTTTTATTTTACCTGCAAATGCTTTTGAATTTTTATCAGTTTGTAGAAATGTTGTTAATTGCATAAACTTACATATCGTCCGATGCTAGTTAATTAATTATTACATAAAATGCAATAAAATCCCTAAAGACATTTGATGCATACATTGTCCAATTAATTGTCAGTTAATCCGCTAATAAACACTCCAAATTAACAGACCGCCGTAAATTACTTTGATTAACCGCATCACTTCAAACATACCATTTCACAGTTTGCGATTTTAACGCGTGTCAAATTACACGATCACCGCTAATTAGTAAACAATCGATAGGGAGATTAAATCTTCCTGCAGGGTAAAAATTCTCGTATTACAATGTATTTCACACCTTTGGATATTTCCGGTTTTTGGAGGTAAAATTGCATTGATTTGACTCTAATTGTACGAAAATATCGTCCGGAATTCAGAATTTAGAAGTTCCGGAATTCAGAAGTATTATATAAATAGAAAATAGAAGGGAAAAAATCGGGACCGAAAAAAATGTTCGGTTTTTAGAAGTTTCCGGATTTCAGAAGTTCCGGAATTCGGAAGTTACACTGTACATATATGATGCAAATGCCCTACTTCAAGCACTTACTTGTCTTCCTTCAACCTTTGAAGACGTCGCTGAAAAAGTTTTTGAGATTTTACCAAAATGTGAGCGTGTAGACTTTGTGACAGAACGTATAAAGCAGAGTCAAGACCAAAGTTCCACGAGACTGGAAAGGTTTTATGAGTACTAGTAATAATGAAAATAAGAAACAATTGATAAGATTGATTTTAGAGGAATGGTCTAAAGATAAATATGCAGGGAAATTGGACGGAAGGAGAATCTTCTACGCTTGTGAGGAGACATGCGTTTGCCTTCACGGTAAAAATGGCAAAGTGGAAGTAATACCGATTCCAAATCTACATACGTCTCAGGAGGAAGCTGATACCAGAATGATGCTTCATATGCAACATGCGGCTGAAAATGATGACAAAGCAATAATTGTACGATCTCCCGATACTGATGTTATGGTATTACTTCTCACGTATGCACAGTCTATCAACAGATTAATACTATTCGACACTGGTGTGGCTAATAATAGAAGACTATTGAAGGTGAATGAAATCATTGATAGACTAGGAGAAGATTTATGCAAAGCATTGATTGGGCTACATAGTTTCTCCGGATGTGAAACCACCAGCGCCTTTGTACGGAGAGGGAAAATTAAAGCCTTAAACATTTTGAAAAAACATCCTGAATATATACCAGTATTCAAGAGAATGGGCGAGAGTGTTGATATTCAAGAAGAAGATTTCAAAATTCTAGAACAGTTTGTTTGCATTTTATACGGGAAAGACAAATATAGTGACATAAATAAGTTGCGTGTTGACATTTTCAGACAGAAGTTTAAACCAAATGCAGACATAATTACGAATACCGATGGTGTTGATTTGAGTTTAATACCACCATGTCGTTCCACATTAAAGATGCATATTATTAGATCAAATTACCAAGCATTTGTGTTGCGAAATGCCTTTTGTCAATTCCCAACTATTCCAAGTCCTGATGGATATGGTTGGAATACTGGCACCACCGGAGGTCTCACCTATACCTGGACAGAGGGAAATATAGTACCACCAGAATTGATTGACATCATAGCTGATAAAAATGCTAGTGAAGTAATAGAAGATGATGAAAATGAAGAAGATGATCTAGAGGAAATTGAGATGGAAAACTATATTGATGTCATTTTCGAAGAAGACTTTGAGTGATAATTAATATATGACTAAAAAGCAGTATTGTAAAACATTAGAAAAGGGACGTAATTTATATATTCTTAAATAGCATCATAATTAAACCAAATTGAACAACAATTAGTCTATTTAGCTTCTATAATGCTTATACAAACAACTCCTTATATATTAAGTGATGTTTTGATTTTTTTTTTAAACAAACTAAAAAGTTTTTATTAAAATGTTAATAAAATTACAAGAAAATGGCGGCCATTTTGAATTTGGCGGCCATTTTGAAAAGTAAAAACATTAATAAATTATGAAGGAAATCATTTTAGAGACCTTGTCTATGATTCAAAACAAAAACCAACTCCCTAACAATTTGCTTGGTTCAAAAATAAACAGTTATTTCAATAAGGCTGTTTATTAAGAAATTGTGACAGGGGAAGATAATTCACATTGGCCTGTGTCTTCATGGTAAACGTTTCAGTCGGACAACAAGTTGTAAATGTCTTCCTATATGTATATCTTCAAAACTACATGGGTCCCATAAAATACCCAGGGGGGGGTAGCCTTTTCCATTTCTAGCTCATACTCTACAATAGTGTTACTTGCGTTTCGAAAGGTAAGGATAAAGCTTTCAGCTTCAAGTAATATGTTCGGCATTCATTGTATATATACAAATATAAACTACTGCAATAATTATTTAGTTTTAACAGCTTAGCAAGTTTCTGTAAGAAAAGGTTTAAAGAACATGTGTAGAGGTATATCAATAAAACAATTGATTTCATATCGAAATATGGTAACACATAACTCTTGATCTATGAATTTACTATTTTGAGAACGCTAATATGATTTATTGTTTCTGCTTTCATCGGGAAACTTGAAGTAATATAGTCAAAGCTTTCGAGAGGTTAGGGTTGCTGATAATATGTCTACATTCCAAAACAAAGAGTTGATATATATTTGTGTAATTTATCACAACTTGTCTACATTCTCAATTTTTCAGTAACAATGAAATCCGCATTCTTCTCTAATGTCTTCTTGTAATAGTGTACAGTCAAAATAGAAGGTAATAAATGTTAAATATTTATGAAGATATAATAATGCATCACTGTGATCACATTAACATTTGGTGTAAACTATTTCTATTTGTCATAATTTGCTACTTACTATTGTTTGGACGTCCAGTTATCTGTATTTTCCTGATTGTATAAACCGATCCCAGGTCAATTTGAAGCCATGGAGGCTCTGAGCCTGATGTTCCTGCACAACATCCACATGTATTAGGATCTCCAGTTGCTTTGTTGTCAATAGAATTATTGCTATACCAAGAAGTAACACTGGTTTGATAAGTGACTTGTAGAGGACATTGATGTAGACACCTCTTTTTTTATCGATTGAATAAGATTGATTTCTTCTGCTGAAAAAGGAACATTATAATAGATTTTACAATCACCATCGTAATGATTATCAGCACCAGTATCATTAATATCATTTAAAATCATCAACAGCACGATCAGTAGCAGCATCATAACAAGCAAATTCGTTGAATTTATATCCCCGCCGAGGAGTGGTTATTACTAACACAACAATGGAGACATGAGGCTTTAATTATGTAAATTTCTCATGGCATGCACATTTCCTTTTCGTATTGATGATTCTCATAAATTCTTGTTAAAATCAATCCAGAATTGAAAAGAAATATCAGTATTGCTCTATATGCATACTGAAAAACTAATCAAGGGCCATAACTCTGTCTTGAAAGCTCTGACCGAAACAAGGCAATGCTATGCGCATCTCTCCTTGGTATATATTGTTCCAATAAAGTTTCGTTGAATTTCAGTCAGTAGTTGCAGAGAAGTAGGCGCGGAAACGATAATTGCTCTATTTGCATACTGCATAACTCATCAAGGACCATAACTCTGTGTTGAAGAGTCTGAGCGGCACAAGGCAACATGCACATCTCCTCTTGGTATTGAAGATACCCATAAAATTTTGTTGTACCAGTAGTTGCAGAGAAAAAGTGCGGAAACGATAATTGCTCAATATGCATTCTACATAACTAATCAAGGGCCATAATACGTCTTGAAGGGTCTGACCAGAGCAATGCGAAGATATGCGCATCTCCTTTTAGAATTGATGGTTCCCATTTAGTGTCATTGAATTCCAGCCAGTCCTTTCAAAGAAATGGCACAGAAACGATTATTGCTCTATATGCATACTGCGTAACAAATCAAGGGCCATTACTCTAAGTTAAAGGGTCTGGCCGAAATAAGGGGACAAAATGCGCATCTCCTCTTATTATTGATTGTTACCATAAAGTTTTGTTGAACTCCAGCCAGTACTTGCAACGAAATAGCACGGAAACGATAATTGCTTTATAAGCATACAGCATAACTTATCAAGGGCCATAAATCTGAGTTAAAGTGTCTGACCGGAACAAGACGATGATATGCCCATCTCCTCTTGGTATTATAGGTTCCTATAATAACGCGTTGAATTCCAGCCAGTATTTGCAGAGAAGAAGCGTATAAACGATTATTGCTTTATATGCATACTACATAACTAATCAAGGGCCATAACTCTGAGTTAAAGTGTCTGACCAGAACAAGGCGACGATATGCGCGTCTCGTCTTGGTATTGAAGGTTTCCATAAAGTTTCGTTGATTTCCAGCCAGTAGTTGCAGAGAAGTAGCGCGGAAACGATTATTGTTTTATAAGCATACAGAATAACTAATCAAGGGCCATAACTCTGAGTTAAAGTGTCTGACCGGAACAAGACGACGATATGCCCATCTCCTCTTAGTATTGAAGGTTCCCATAAAAATGCGTTGAATTACAACCAGTAGTTGCAGAGAAGAAGCGTATAAACGATTATTGTTTTATATTGATACTGCATAACTTATCAAGGGCTATAACTCTGAGTAACAGCGTCTGACCAAAACAAGGCAACGATATGGCCATCTCCTTTTAGTATTGAAAGTTCTCATATAGTTTCGTTGAATTCCAGTCAGTAGTTGCAGAGAAGTAGCGCCGAAACAACTATTGCTTTATTTGCATACTGCATAACTAATCAAGGGCCATAACTCTGAGTTTAAGGGTCTGACTGAAATATGCGCATCTCCTCTTAATATTGATGATACCCATAAAGATTCGTTGAATCCAGTCAGTAGTTGCAGAGAACAAGCGCGGAAACGAAATTCGGCCGGAAGGATGGACGGACAACACCAAAAGAATATCTCCCCCTGCCGCTTCCATGAAACAGTTCATGAAATCCAGCAGTATCATATCATCATTATCATCATCATCATCGTTTTAATCATTATCTGTCTTCTTTTGCAATTGAACCGTCATTATAATTATGAGAAATTCCGTAAGAAGACGCTGAGTAATTTTTGACGTGGATCATTTGGCTTATGTATTGTTCTCGACAGACATATAACGTATTGTAAATTTTATTAATATGCAAACGATTAAAAGAAACTTTTGTGTTTTTTTATAATACACTTATTTAAACCCTATTATTCACTATAGTTTATGTCGATGTTTATCATTATAAATGAAATAATAATGTATCTGGGTAATTTGATAGAGGTTGACGTGAAGAGAAGGTGTAAATTTAGATAAAACTAGCCGGTTTGTAACAGTCTTTATCTCTCTCGGAGAACATACATGTTTGTATCTTTAAGTATCGTTACAAGATTGACATGCAGGGTAAACTCGCTCTAATAAAAATGAAATTAAATAGTTCTTTTAGAATAGAAAAGAACTCTATATTCATGTGCCTGTCGAATCGTTTTTATTTATTTTCATGTTCTATATCAAATGTTTTAATCAATCGATTATTTATTCATTTCAACGAAAACCGGTCATTTTTATGCTAAAGTCGGTGGACGGGCGGACGATCTGGCGTCAAATTTAGGTTTCCGCTCAATAACTTGAGTTTGCTTTGGCCTTTTGTCGCAAAGCTTAGTGTCTGTGTAGCTTATATCAAGATGCCCTTGGGATTGTACGCAAGTGCTTATGATTAAGGTCAAAGTCACTGAAGCTTAAAGTAGAAATTCAGTTACCGCTCACTAACTTAAGCTGTCTTTGGCCTACTGGTGCCAAATTTTGTATCTATGTAACTAATATCAAATTCAGCTTGGGATTGCTAACCAAATGTCTGTGATCAAAGTCAAGGTCATTGTTGGTAAAATAGAAAATCAGTTTTGACGTAATTACTTCAGTTTACTGAGCATATTGACACCAAACTTGGTGAGTTGGTAGCTTATATAAAGACGATACTCAAGATTGCTACACAGGTGCCTGTGATCAAAGTCAATATAAATGTTCCTGAAAACAAAAATTCAGTTTCCTTTCTATGACTTGAGATTGCTTTGGCCTACTGGCGCCTTACTTTGTATCTATGTTAATTATGTCACAAAAAGCAGCTTGAGATTGCTACCCAGATGTATGTGATCGACGCCAAGGTCACTGAAAGTTGCTAAAATAGATATTCAGTTTCGAAGTAATAACTTCGGTTTGCACAAACATATTGACACCAAACTTGGTGTGTTGGTAGCTTATATCAAGACGCCTTTCGAGACTGCTACTCGGGTGTCTGTGATTAAGGTCAAGGTCAATGTTGCTGAAAAAATCAGTTTCCGCAATATAACTTGAGCCTGTTGACGCTTAACTTGTTGTATAGGTAGCATATATCAAGAGGCAGCATGGGATTGCCACTCTGATGTCTTTGATAAAGGTCAAGTGTCACTGTTACTAAAATTATGAATTAACTTTCCGCTCATAACTACAGTTTGATTGGAGCTATTGACTCCAAACTTAGTATGTTGGTAGCTAATATCATGACGCTATTCTGGATACGCAGGTGACTTTGATAAATGTCAAGGTATCTGTTGTTAAGAATAGAAATTCAGTTTCAACAAAATAACTTGAGTAAGCTGGACACTTAGTGTGTGGGTAGCTTATATCAAAACGCAACTTGTAATTGCTACCCAGATGTCTATAAACAAGGTCAATGTCACTGTTGTTTTAAAAACAAAATCCGTTTTCACGTAATAACTTGAATTTACTTTGACCTTATGACACCCATGTTGATCTGTGGGCAGCTTATTTAAGATGCAGCATGGGTTTGCTAGTAAGATATCTTGGAGTTAGTTCAAGGTCACTGTTGTTAACAATTGTTGAATTTTCAGATTCTATGCAATAATTTCACTTCACTTTGTCCTTATAATACTTAACTTGGCATGAATGTAGCTTACATGGAAATACAGCCTGGCATTGCTTCTCTAGTATCTGTTATGTTTTTATGTTAAACTATTGAAACCAAATTTCTAGGATGGTACAAATGTAATTTTCATTATGACACTGCTTTTGATTGCTTCAAAGGTCTCTGGAATCTAGGTCATTGTCTTCGGGTTAAATGTCTTTCCGAATAGCAACATATTTTCATAACACTGTAGATTTTGGAAAGAGCTGTACATTCTCAAGTTTTGTGTTGCTTTCAAATCCTTGTTTTATTTGTATTTGTAAATGTATAGTTCCCTTGTTTATCATGCATTTGTTACGGAACCTTTGCTGAATTGATCAATATCCAGTTATCGCAAAAAACAGCATCATTTTTTCATCATTGCCATATTTCATTCCTAATTCAAAACAATACTTGGTCGTAGAGAAAATGGTTTTATAACAATGTTAAGCTTGTTTAGCATTACAACTTTATCGATTAATAAATACTAATTAAGTGATTTATTTTTGAGATTTCAACATTTTTTGAGTTACCACCATCCTTTGTTATTTAATGTAAAAAAGAAATATATTATCTTTTATATTTTAATTTATGTTTGTATTTTACAGATTCCAAAATTGGAGATATTTAATTTCCATAATAGAATATAAACTCAGTCAGTAAAAGAAACAATGGATGAATTATGTGTTTTGACCATACGATATAGTTTCATCAAGATATCAGAAATATGATTGAAATAAAACTGTATATTTTTTATAATAATAGTCACAAAGAAATTGTGATTTTTTTTCTAAAACATGTATAAAAACATTACTTTATGGTGAATACCTTAATCTTACAGTAAAATATTTAAAAGCTGAATGACGATGTCCATTGCTCACCTGCGCCGCCCGAAAAGTGTTGAAGAAGATTTTTTGTGATCGCGGTCATCTTTGGGTAGATTTTTTTTATCAAAAGCTTTAATAACTGTAACGGTGACAGTAGTGGCGTTAATGGTGGCATTTTGGTCTCAGCTATCTTAACCGTTGACCTACTGAACTACTACTGTTTGCATAAAACGGATATTGCACCATATTTATTACATATTAGATTAATGGAAACTCCCATTTGACAATACTTATACTTTCTTTAGTTCTAGAAATCTTAA